TTGAGTACATCACAGTGACGGAAGCCAAGCACTGGCCGGCAGGAGCTGAGCACAGCCTGTTCACCGGAGACCCTGAGCAGACTCACGGGTGTTGCCTAGTTCAAGGGTGTGTTGAAGTAAACGGATGTGGCTGCAGGAGAGACTTCCAAAGGCTCAAGCTGTTTTTCCACAGCCCTCCTGCTAACCTTCACAGAATTTAGCCAATAGTTTTGACTTGGATGTGTTCCACCTTGGAGTTCCTTGACTTAGCAACATTAGAGACTGATAAAAACAGAAAGCAAAGTTTTCCTACTTTTTTTGAAGTCAGGCCACAATGTATACTACTTCCTGGCAGCCAGTGAAAGTGGAGAAGGTATTTTATTAATGCAGTGTGTGTTCTAGGTGAAATCTTAAAGTCACCGCCTCGCTGTTTTTGTCCTGCTAGCTAGCTCTAGATGACATTAGGTGTACTCTTTGGGGGCTGTGACTCAATTTCCTGTAGGATAGCTGGCCACTCCACATGAGGTTATTTTTTTGTTTGTTTGTTTCTTTTTGGTTAGGGATGAAAAGGTCAGTTACTCAATGTCTTAGAACACTCGGGGTCACAATTCCGAAAACGGAACTTAAATAGTGATCTGAAAAAAAAAAAAAAAAAAAAACTGTGGCCAAGCATATTGCCCACTGCCTTGGAATTTAGAAGTAACAGTCTCAGGTCTGTGTCAACATCAACAATATTTCTTGGATAGTCTATCAACCGAACGTACTTCCTCTCTTAGTAACATTCTTACTCATAAGTAGAAGCTCGAAGCCCTCTTTGTAAGTTCTCGCTTTTATCTGGTGTATGCAGAAGATCTAGAAGCTAAACTACATTTACATGCCACATTACAACTGTACCCAAGTCCTGACTGTGAAATAACTAATCTATCACTTAAAATATAAAATGGATCTTCTATCACTTTAAGAGCAGATCTTGTGAGTCTGACATGCAAGATGTCTTAAAACACTAGCTTGAAACTTTCCTGGAATTACTTCTCCACGTAAAAAAAAAAATTAATAAAGAGTGAAATATGATACGTGGAGCCGCAGCCTGGTAGGTCTGGGACCTGGATTTGTACTGCTCATTTCTGCAAAGCTTGGGGAAATTGGTGAAGGTGGAGATGGGGAGTAGGGACGCGCATTTAATGAATGCGCTGGGAGTCCCTGGGGCTCGCACTCTGAGGCGGTCACAGAGCAGCGGAAACACAAGAAGCCTTCCCTTGGAGAGTTGGTTTCCTGCTTGCTAACGAAACCAGTGACTGCATAGATGGTCATGGAGAGATCCCACATACGCTGGCTCTGTTTTTTGTTTTATTTTGTTTTTAAATGTATTTTATTGAAAAGCCAGATTTGCAGAGACAAGGAGACAGAAAGATCTCCCATCCTCTGGTTCACTCCCCAAGTGGCCGCAATGGCCCGAGCTGAGCCTATCTAAACCTAGAAGCCAGGAGCTTCTTCTGGGCCTCCCACACTAGTGCAGGGTCCCAAGGCTTTGGGCCATCCTCTCCTGCTTTTCCAGGCCACAAGCAGGGAGCTGGAGGGGAAGTGTTGTAGGTGGGACAAGAACTGGCACCCATATGGGATCCCAGGATGCATGCAAGGCAAGGACTTTAGTCACTAGGCTACCGCACCAGGCCCACTGGCTCTGTTTTTTAACCCCCTGGATGTGCAACTAAAATGTCCAAGAAGTTATATGCATCTCGTATTAATACAGCATAGAGAAGATAAAGGAAAAGTGCATACCAGATCCACCAGTATGGTAACTAGGTAGTTAACATTCACACGTGGGGGTTTTCTGAAAAGTGAAAATCTGTTACAGCAGAGGCAGGTTGTTTATGATCCGTAGGGTTTGGGCTTTACAAGGGCCTGTGTGTGGAAGGTTTCATTTTTGTTTTTTTTTTTAAAGATTTATTTTTATTATTTTTTCATTGGAAAGGCGGATGTACAGAGAGAGGAGAGAGAGAGAGGAAGATCTTCCGTCCGATGATTCACTCCCCAAGTGAGCGCAACGGGCCGATACTATGCCGATCTGAAGCCAGGAGCCTCTTCCGGGTCTCCCGCACGGGTGCAGGTTCCCAAAGCTTTGGGCCGTCCTCCACTGCTTTCCCAGGCCACAAGCAGGGAGCTGGAAGGGAAGCGGGGCTGCCGGGATTAGAACCGGCGCCCATATGGGATCCCGGGGTTGCAAGGCGAGGACTTAACCACTTGCGCCACCGCGCCGGGCCCGGTTTCATTTTTGTAGCAGGCATTTTATATACTTGGATGAGGAAGGACTACAGATGTGTTTTATACTTAAAGCTTTCTTAAGGCTTGTTCTCTTGGTTAAGGAAAGAAAGCTTCTGGCAAGATGAATAGCGCTGGCAAGGTGTAGGCCCTTATCTGTTCACCTGAAGTATATATCTAGAAGTTGGCGTAAAGAGAGAAAGAAGAATTGGGGTTGTGCTGTAGCAAGTTAAGCCGCCCCTCCAACACCGGCAACCCATAATGGTGCTGATTGAAGTCCTGCTGCTCCACTTCCAATGCGCCTCCCTGCTAATGCGCCTGCAAAAGCAGCTGAGGCTAGCCTACGTGCTTGGGCTCTCCCACCCACCTGTGGGCCCTGGAAGAATCTTTGAAAGGCTTCTGGCTTTGGCCTCGCACATTGTGGCAATTTGGGGAAGTGAATCAGAGTACAAAAGACTCCCCCACTCTTCTCCTCTCTGTAATTCTGCCTTTCAAATAGACCAATCTTTACAAAAGAAATTTTAAGGGAAAGAAAGAGGAAAAGAAGCAAATTGAAGGAAACAAATTTTATGCTAACATCTCAAAGTGAATAGCGAACACTTAAGATTCTAGATAATAGCAAGCCATGTGGCACAGATGGCAAACACTTTGAAAGTGACCGCAACCTTGGGCCCAGCGTGGTAGCCTAGCAGCTAAAGTCCTTGCCTTGCACTCCCGGGGATCCCATATGGGTGCCAATTCTAATACCAGCAGCCCTGCTTCCCATCCAGCTCCCTGCTTGTGGCCTGGGGAAGCAGTCGAGGATGGCTCAAAGCCTTGGGACCCTGCATCCATGTGGGAGACCTGCAAGAGGCTTGGGGCTCCTGGCTTCATTGCTGCTGCTTAGGGAGTGAATCAGTGTATGGAAGATTTTCTTCTCTGTCTCTCCTCTTTTATGTATATCTGACTTTCCAATAAAAAAAAATGTTATTGAAAGCTTGACAGATTTATATAAAAACCTATCTGGAAAACACCACGGGGGCCTGAGGTTCAATCCATGAAATGTGTCCCTGATAGTCTATACAGTCTCAATTTCAAGGGCAGACTTTCTTCCCCACCTGTCGATTGAAAGAGAAGAGCATTTCAATATCTTTCTTTTCATTGGTAATGAGCAGGCTTTATAATGGGTGGCTTCTGTCTACCACGCTAATGGACAGAGGGAGAGTGGTGGAGAGCCGCTGTCTGATCAGCTGTTGTTTGCAGAATGGCTACAAAGTCTCCAGGTGTGAAGGTCTGGGGAGTTTAGCCCACCCACGCATGTTTGCAGTTTAGCCCTGGCAGAAACACCCTTGCAGACTTTTCTTCCTTGGCACATTGAGGGCGTCGTCCTGGGCTCTTGTACAATTCCACAAAGAACGCATGTGTGCGGGACACGTGTTAAGTCGCCCTGCATGTGGTGTCTTCACGTTGCTCTTCCTTTAAGATTACTCTTAGGCAATTATGGTTATAAAAACGCAACATATTGTCCAATCTGTGAATTCCAAAGCGTCCAGACCCCTCCATCCACCCAAAAATGTAGCAGCCTGATGCTGAGTAAAAAGCAGCTGTGGGTACTGGAAGAGCCAGGTGTTCCTAGAAAATGTCATTTATTCCTACAACCCTATTCCCCTCCCCCCCTCAAGTAGGTATATGCTAAACCCTCAGAAACCCAAAGCCTAACCCCATCAGGCAAGGTGGCGCGGATCCTCAACAACCTTTCCTCTGGGTGCCCAAAGGGCCCTCCCGCAAAACCACGAGGAGACCCAGCAACCCTGGCATTGGGGGCCACCGGGATGGAGGGGGGCGCGGGCTCGGCGGGGCGCATCGGGTACCGGCCGGGCAGGTGCAAGGCTGCGCGCGGCCGCCCGTCGAGTCCCGCTGGAGCCCGCGCCGAGCGCGACCCCGAAAGGCGGGCGCCGGGCGCTCCACGCCGGGTTTTCCGCCGGTCTCCCTGCGTAGACAGCCCCACAGCCGCCCCACAGACTCGCACGCTCGCTCCTCTCGGGCTGCGCTTCATCAAAGCGAGCGGCGCCCCGGCTGCGCGGGGGTGATGCCGCGACGAGGTGGCGGGGCTGCAGGGGGCGCGGCGGGTGGGGCGGCAGCCAGGCTTTGGCAATTCGGAATCTCTTTGTAAGGGGGTTGAGGAGGAGCCAGACAGCGCCGCGGGCCGTGAGGGGCGTGAAGGGGAGTGTTCCCGGAACGCCGGGGAGATGGAGCCGCGCTGCGCCCGCCGCCCCAGGACTTGAGAAAGAAAACAGGAAACGTGGTGGCCGCGCGCACCCAGCTGCGGCTGATTCACTCGCTTCGAGGCCCTCGGGGCCGGAGGCCGAGGCATCCCGGGCCGTGGACCAGACGCTCCTCCGTGGGCCCGGCGCCCGGGGCGTGCGCGCCAGCCCCGCCAGCCCCGCACCAACGGAGCTCCGGTGCCTGGGAGCCCGGCTTGCTGCGCCGCCGTCAAAAAGTCGCCTCGTGGGCTTTCCGCGTCAAAGTTGGCCGGCGGCACTTGGCGCGCCCTCCCGGACGCCACGCTGGAGAGACCGTGCCCGCCCGAGGCCGGCCGCCCCGCTCACAGAGCCCCGGCCGCCGTGACGCTGCGGGGCCGGGCACTATGAAGGAACAGCCCTCATGTGCGGGCACCGGGCGTCCGAGCATGGCGGGGTACGGCACCATGGCACCCTTTGAACTCACCGGCGGCCCCGCGAAGCGCCTGAGAACTGAGCCCCCCTTTCCCTGTTTCTTCGCAGAGGAGGCCTACCAGAAACTGGCCAGCGAGACCCTGGAGGAGCTGGACTGGTGTCTGGACCAGCTAGAGACGCTGCAGACCAGGCACTCTGTCAGTGAGATGGCCTCCAACAAGGTAAGCCCCCCCACCCCACCTCTGCCGCGCAGCTTGCCACTGCCGCCACGGCGCCCCCCGGGACTGCTGGGGCCAGGAAAGCCAGGAGTGCCCGTGGCCCCACGGAAAAACAATCCGCAGAGATTGGTCAGTCTCACTGCCTATTAGCTTTTTTTTTTTTTTTCTGCCTTGGAGGGTCATGGCTATGGCCCCTCTTTTTTCTTTCCACTCCATTCACTGTTGCTTAAAGCAACTTGGGCATAGTTTTGACTCTGAGTATCCCCAGAGCTGGGATTCCCAAGTGACCTTGCAGCAGCAGCAGCAGCCCCGTGGGATCCATTGGCATTGCATAGGTGGGGGAGTTCTTGAGATTCCTGGTTAAAGATAAAGAGTTGCTGGGTGTCAAGGAAATCACTTGGACGTCAGCGGCTACCGCACTCCCAAGTCAGGAGTTTCCTGAACTTGGAACCTTAACCCTCCTTGCATCTCGTTATCAGGGCGTCCTGGGAGCACCCGAGCCTTTATATATTCAGCTGGGGGCGCATCCACAGGAAACGTTGACAAAGTTAGAAGGCTCCAGCGGCTCGTTGCCCTTGCTGCCATTCGTCTTTGAAGAGCTAGTCCGGTTGTCCGGGGTCCTGTGGTGGCAAGGAGGCTGCAGCTGGGCGTATGTGCCCACTATGGGCTGGGATGCAGCTGGCCTTGGCAGAGAGTGGAGTTTGGGGGTGCTCAGAAGTAACCTTCAGCACGACACTGCCCTAAGATAGAGTCTGCAAGGCAAGGTATTTTTTGCATTCTTTGAAGTTCCTGTACCTTTTGTCTTTTAGTTAGCTGTGCAGGGTTAGTTGTGTGTGTGTGTGATGCTGATCTGGCTGAGGGACGGGAAAGGCCGGGAGGGCATGTAAGGAGTGCTGCTGATCTGGGGTGGGAGTTAGCAACAGTGACCCGGTAAGAGACCTGTATTGTTTTGTTTTGTTTTGTTGACCTATTTACAAGGTCAATCAGGTTATCTCTTGTCCTGTGTGCTCATAGCTTTCAAGGAGTGATGCTTTCCTGTTAAACCTACAGTTTTGTCCCATTTGGCTTTTCTTGTGCAGTTTTATAAAAAGAAATGGCACTATTATTTGATTGTCCTAACATTGCTTTTGTAGGTTACATTGTTGTGTAAGTAAAAAAAAAAAAAAAAAATCGAGCTTCACATGGAGAAAAGGGTCTCCCCAGACACTCCCAGCTGGTACAGCTGGACCTTTCTGCACATGGAGCAACCCTGGGGACCCCACTGTGTTGCGGGCCATTTGGGCCTCCTTGCATGGTGTGGCTTCTCCTTTGCATGACCAATGTCTGCTTTCTTACCAGAGAGCCCTTCCTCCCTGCTGTGGTGATTCTCCTATGGCTAACAACTTCTCAGTTCTGGAAGACAGAGTTTGTCTGTCATTTGACTGGCACACCAGTAAATGAATCCTGGCTGTCCCAGAGCGCTGCGAGCAATGGCTGAGACCATTCTTGCAGTGGGTCTGAATTCTTCATTCTCTCGGCTGGCTGATTCTGGGGAGCTGATGGCAAGAGCAACTCCAGCCCTTGGTTTTTAAATGTTCACTTATGTCTTCTGGATGACCTGACTACTCATTTATTTATTTACTTATTTTTTAAAAACAAAATCAGCCCAGTCAGCTTCAGTGTAGTTCCCACACATCCGCGTTCCGGATGAGGCACAGGTCTGAGTTTAACGGTGATACGAAGTCTGAAGGTTGTAAAACAACTCCAGCTAAGCCTTGATGCTTTAGGGCTACAAAATGTTTCAGTTGCAACAGTTGGTCAGTGGGTTTTCCTAATGGCATCAACACAAGTCGTGGGTTCGTTTTTTTTTTTTGTTTTTTTTTTTTTAGTTTTTAATCTTCCTTGAGAAGACCCTGAAATTTGACTTTGAGTTAGAGTTTGTCCGAGAGGTGAAGTGATGTATACACAAAGTGAGAAAATACTTTTTTTTTTTATGATGTCCTCCTAGCCGACTGGTGACTGAAAGGTTGTTGACGTGACAGAGTTAGCCGAACTGCGGCCGTTGCTTAGCCTGCTGATCTCTGAGCCATTCATTTCTGTGTTAATGCATTCATTTCTAAGTAAGTGTGAAGTCCCCGTGACTTGGATGGGGAAAAATGGATGACTATAGAAACGACAGAAAGGATCTCAGTAGAAGGTTGTCGGGTCCCTGGCCATAGGGAACAACCACGTGGCCCTGAGGGGTAAAAGGAGCGAGTTCCCAGGAGGGACACAGGACCTTGAACCTGGACTAGAACCTGGAAGAGTTTCACAGGACAACTCTTCTTCGTTGTTGCATATCACTTGAGTATGAATGAGAAGTCTGGAATGTTTTTGGTTATTCTTTTTCTTAAAAATCCACCGCATCAATGTTTTCCATTTTTTTTATGCCTTTGAAAATGTCAGTTTTGTTTTCTTGTGTGTGGGTTTTTTTTTTTTTTCATACTTTAATCAATTTAAAGGGCACAGTGAAAAACACTGATAAGAGATTTAGGAAACTACTTATTGCAGAGATGGACTTGAGTGTTAGAAGAGGGAGGTTTCTTTCACAAACCCACTTTTAAAATTGGCCCAAGTCATTCATCTGTATTTTGCGAATCTGAAAAAGAGAAACCTAACCCAATTAGCAGTTTTTGTATAATGCTGTAGAAGCGGCTAGCTCTGTTTTTCCTATATAGGGACTGTGGCACTCTTACTGTTTGTTGATGGTATTGAGGCAGGGAAATGATTGAATTCTTGTCCGAGGCCACGGCTGGCTGTCTCATGTGTAGGATGCTCGTCTCAATTGGAGTAAGAGATTCCAGATGGCATTTAATTTGAGTGATTAAATCTACAGCATTTGCCCTCATAAACACATTAATCTGCCTGGGATTTGTTCAGATTTCCTTTGGAACCTCATTGCTACAATTGAGGGCAATTTGCACGAGATCTCAAAGCTTTGGAGGACAGACCTGCGAGTTGAATGGTGGTTTTGTTCCTTGTTCCCTGACAGTCGAAACATGACCACCCTTCAGCTTGCTCATGATAATGACTTTTGGAAGGCCGTTGTGTGTAGATGCCACGACTGGCTAATACAGAGTCTGAGAGTGGAAGGCGCTGTTCCTGTTTGCATTATTTGGAGTTTAAGCCAGACTTGATTGGGTGTCCACTGAGTCAAAAATGGTCGTTTTGTCATTTAGGTCAGACACTTTCAGTTTTGTGAATTTTCACCGTATGTTCCTTAGCGAGCTGTCTTCAGTACACATCTTTATGTTGTCAAGAGTGCTTGAATTCCATTGACGATTTCCTTGGGTATAATGCAGATACACACATTTAGAGTTCTAATTTAGAAGTTTAGTCTTCTCTTTGACTCCAATTACAGAATTCCAGACAGAAGAACTAAATACTTTTTTGTTTTCTTCTAAAGCTGAAAACACAGCCATGCTCCTTTTTTGGAGCATGTTCAGCGTTATTTGGCCTAGAAGGAGGGCACAATTCCATCTGGTACTACACACAACTCAGGAATATCTCCTCAATAGAATATGTTTCCAGTGTTTGTCGTGACCTTTCTCTGTTGGACGGTGTATTTGGGGTTGGGAAGGACTGGCAGGCAAGTCCAGAAAGGGGCCTGGGGGTCTCAGGGTCCCGGGGCACTGGTGGATGACGCTGTGGACTCCTCCAACTTCATCTCTTGTGACCTAAAAATGCATATTTCACAGGTCCACAGGACGAGTGCGGCAGGGTTTGAAAGGAGAACATGAAATCATTTTAGGTTTCCTGTAAATGGTAACACTGAAACAGTGAATCGTATTTCTAGCCTCTCGTGCTGGGGGCCATGCCGAGGCTTGGCCCTGCTGCAGGCTACCACGTTTCAAGCTGAAAAGTGTGTCTTGACATTAGGATTCATGCATCTTTGTGAGAGATTTCGTTTTTCCCTCTCGTTCATTCCAAAATGTTGTTAGACCAGCTTGGTAAATGGGCTTATGACATCACGGAATTTATTGTCTCTTTGGTTCTTAGCAAACATCCCGATTACCTAAATGAAATGCCTTTTCTAGGGAGCTTTTTCTGGATACACTCTGGCTGCTCCCCCTGCTGCTCTGTGGCAGGCAGTGCATAACCGCAGTCACCAGGTACTCCTCAGGACCCCGAGAGGTGCTGGAATGAATGTGGGATGTTCAGAGAGCCGCTCCATCATTATGCAAATACAAGATAACAGAATGGGAGTAGCCTTCGGTTAAGCAAAGCTAAAAGCATTGGAAAGAAGCATTTTAATCTTAGAGAAAATAGAATTCACTTTCTACATTAAAATGTTAAAACTCGGAATAAAATCGTTGTTGAGTTCACCAATAAGCCTAAAGAGAAACAAAAGTTTACTCAAAACTCTCTTTGAGTTTTGTGATGGTTTGAGTGTGGTATGTATTCTTTTATCTATTTAACAAAGGTAGCTGAGAAAAACTTTATGTAACTTATATATAATGCCTTAAGCTTAATTTACAGGAGGGTGGGAATCCTTGCTTTCATGCCTACTGATAGGAAAAAAAATGCTTTATTTTCTTTTAGGATTAATGGAAGAGAGGAAACACAGTTTTCTTTTTAATACTGTATTTTATTTGAAAGAATTGCAGTAAGAGCAGGAAAGACAGATTTTCCATCTGCTAGTTCACTCCTTAAATGATGTCAAAGGCCAGGATTGCGCCAGGCCAGAGCTGGGTACTTCAGTGTGGTATCTCACGTGGGTGGCAAATGCCCAATGACTTGGGCACTCTTTCTCTGCTTTCCTAGGCACATTAGCAGGAACTAGATCAGTTTTAGACTCAAGCTTGCATCCATATGGGGTGCCAGTGTTTCAGGCAGCCACTTAACCCACTGCACCCAACCTAAAACTCCAGGAAACAACTTCAATGAAATTTTTTTTTTTTTGCTTCGTTGCATAGGAGGGCCCTTGACTGTAAGTTAACAAGTCACTAGTGATTCTAAGATATTTCTGTCTCTTTTATCAACTC